GAGTGTGATGGCAGCCAGAGAGACAGGGAGAGATATGACTGTGCCTTGTAATAATCCTTCAGTGTTGACACTGAGATCCAAGTTAAAACAAGCACAAAGGCTTGTGTTATTCCCTCTCTAGTTGCATTAATGAGAAAGGACTTATTCTTGTATCACCTTACTTCTGCTGAGATGTTCGCCAAGATTTGGCACAAATATTTCAAGCTGCAAAAAGTATTTCAGCAGGCGTGCTTCCTGATTGTTGCTGGAGAGGATATATCAAAGTACGCAGGCGTAAAGGGTCAAGGCATTCTCTGTTAAATACCAAATGCTGCTTTTGCACAGTCACCTGAAAAAGAAAAAACATCCCAGAATGCCGGCCTTCGCCAGAGAGTGAAGCCGACTTCACGTCCACGGCGGTGCTTGGACAAGCAGCATAACTTGGACAAGTTGCAACAATATGAGTCAAATTTCAGTTCACTGATGGCTCAGTCACACAAGCACGACGACCTCTTTAGAAAATAAATCGATGACTGTCAGGTGATTGCATTGATGTCTTTACAATCAGTGACAAATTGCAAGTAGCTGCAGTGACCTGGAGGTTGAGGATGCTTTACACTCAACCGCCGGCTGAAAGCTTTTGATTGCAAAGAGATTGCACAGGGAGGCAACCTGTCCCCAAACAGTCAGAGTCAGCAGTCGCTCTCAGAGAGGAGGTTTTCACAGAGCTGTGGCATATAAACACAGACAGACTTGTGGAGGTGGGAGCGGTGACTAGAGCCACGGGGTAATTAGCATTAGCTGAGCATAGAGCATATTTATGCTAATCTCCCAGCACGGCACAGGTATAACTGATTTTAATGATGGTTACATATTTCTGTGAATTATAAGCGCCTCAAGGCTCCTGCTTGGATGCACTTTTGCAGACTGATACCTGTGCTGCACCCATAAACATCAGTTCCACGCAGACAGGCCCACGTTTATGGTAATGGGAGCCAAACCTGCTGCCTTTGGCAAAGGTCTGTGCACCAGAGTTATTGCAGCACACTAAAACTAATCAAAATGCAATCAAATGATAATAAATACACTAAGAAAATTTAAATTTAAATATCTGTGCTTTTTAAAACTAACTGAGTTTTAGTCTCCAGCTGGAGGAGACACTGGTGCACATGTTTATAGAAATACAGATTACGACTTCACTTCGTGTTGTTGTCGGTTGTGAAGTATCTGAAAAATCCCACCCGTCTCATGTTAACTGGGACAAACACCCGAAACTAATAAGAACTCGACTGAAACCAAACATTTCTTATCAATAACAACTAAAGTGAAAGAAAAGCAAAAGCTCACACTTGAAACCATCTAAAGCTGCAGTGGATTGAAGCTAACAAAGTAAAACAAATGGAAATAAAAACGATGCACCGGTTCCTCCAAAACCTTGGATGTTTTACACATATTTGAAATAGAGCAGATTCCAACTTCGTGTTGTATAAAACCTTTCTGATGCTTTAAGTAGTAAGTGCCCTCAGTAAACTCTACACTGAGCAAGACAGTTTGTAGCAGAGAAACAGTTTTATTCAGGAGAAGTATTATTCTGGTTTTTTGTGCTGTAGAATAAATTCTCACCTTAAGTTAAAAAAAAACAAGCTTGTCACACTCAAATACAAAAAAACCCCTAAAGACAATAAAAAAGATGTCGGGTTGCTCGAAAAGGCGACTCTGACAGTGCCAGAAAAATACTGGACACAAATAAAAGCTGATATTAAACACAATACTTCATTTTCACAAAGAGCCGCACTGTAGTAAACACAGGAAATAACCCAGTGGTTGCTGCAGTCGACGGGGCAAGCCCTGTGCTGTTACTGTTTATCTTTTAATGTGATAAGTCAGTCCTCGAGCCAACGAGCTGTTGTTTCTACCATGGATGTCATCAGTCACAGGAGCATTTCGCACTCCCTTCACATTAATAACAATCCTTATTTATTTTAATCCTCATTGGTTTGGCAGCGGCAGTGAAAACACGTACATGCATTTAAACATGCGTGGGTGAGTGAGAAATAATGGAGGCTGATAGCATATGGAAGTTTCAATTTGTCTGGATAATGTAAAGGAATAAATGCAGAAAAAAGGTCTGGACCACATTTACATCATATCCAAAATGTTTGCCAGTGCAGTAAAACTGTAAGTAAACATGTAAATAATAACCTAAGCAGCTATGCTTGGAAACGTGGATGAAATCGATAACTTGCGGCCAGAGTGGCGTCCACACAGCAGAGACCACAGAAAGTCAGCGACAGCCGGCAAAGTGAAGTGGGCGTGTCGAGGGGCGGGACCAGTGATCATCTCACTGGCACAGTGATCGAGGGGCGGGGCCAGTGATTCACATGTGACAGGATAATAAACACAGAGGTTATCTACAGGAGGCAACCGGAGCCTGGAGCGTCTGTGTTGGGCAAGTTACTTTGAAAACGTAATTACTTATAGTTACTAGTTACTTCTTCAAAAAAGTAACTGAGTTAGTAGCTGAATTACAAGATTCTAAAAGTAATTAATTACTAGAAAAGTAACTATTGCATTACTTTAAAAAAAGTTTAACCCTCAGGGGTCCAGGGTATAATCGGCCATTTTTAACTACTTTTGATTCTCCCTCCACATTTCACATTTCTGTTTATTTGCCTTGTTTGGTGTCATTCTCTTCAGCACAGCCTCACATGTCTGAATCTACAGTTACGTTTTCATTTTGACAGACTGTATTAACACAATTGATCTTAAATCAGACAAAAAACATGACAAATCGGAGTAGAAAAAGTGATATTTTTACTGTAACAACCACAAATGTGTTTATTGAATCATATTTCATAACTTTAAATGCAAATATAAATTGTCAATTTTAAAATCATATGCACAAGTTTTGCAAACAACAAAGTTACTTGCAGCCATTTACCTTTTATCCTTTTTTTTTTTACAACCACTTCAAATTATTTACAGAACAATCAGCTGTTCTTCAATAAGATGCCACAAATTATTTGTGCCACTGCAAATATTTCTGTCCACTATAAAGGAAACATCACAGCCTGATACCTGCAGATCTGACAGTAGCAGGTGTGTCACTGCTGTTTCTACCCGGAGACAGCAGTCGCCTCATTGTTCTGACACACAACACAAAACTATCCACAACACTACACACTAACTACACAAGACAACACATTAACTACACCAAACACGCTAAACGTCACAAATCTCTCTCGCCATCACTGCTGAAACTTCCCCCTCTTCCTAAACAACCAAATGTCATGTTTCCATATCATAGTTTGATTGGTCGACATGGTGCATTTTTCCACCAACACGAACGAGCTGTTTTTTGTTTGCTCATAAGCAGAGAGTGCTTGTTAGCGCTGTCCTCAGACAGTAAACGTGACGAAACTATTGAGGAAAAAACGCTGCGTATATATTGTTTATCAGGACTCTGGTTTTACTGGCCTATCAACACAGTTTATAAACTGGTACATGTCACCTTGTTGCTGTCTTAAAGTAGTCATGTGATTGGCTTACCACGACTCCTTTATTCTTCCTCAGTCAAACAGCAGCACTCATGCCATTGTTTCCCCCCTGAGCTCCAGGTGCTTTGCAGTGATCGCCGTCCACGGGAGCGCAGCTGCTTAAAGCTGTAGCGCCCAGATTACTTACGTGCGGTGAGCTGAACACAGCTTCAACCGTCTGTTTGTTGAAAAACAGTAACGCACCGCATTTTGTTGTCAGTAACGGTAACGGCGTTGTAACGATAGAAACAGTAATTAGTTAGATTACTCGTTACTGAAAACAGAAACGCCGTTAGTAACGCCGTACAGGATTCACCTGAATGAGCGACGTTGTTAGTCGAAGGTCAGTAATTCTTCATTTTACTGCATCTGACGAAGAAGAGCAATTCTTATTTTCCTTTAGTTCATTCAGACAAAAACTAAAAAGGAAAAGAAAAAACTGACTGAATCTCACAATATTGTTTAAACCTCACTGAGGTTTGCATAAAACCCTGGTAGTCTCACTTTTAGGTGATGCACCTTAAAGCAGCATGGTGGTAACATCCACATGTGTCAGGCTCACGGCATTGCCATCGCAACATCTTGATTATTTCCCTTTTTCAGCCTTTTTCAGCCTGCATGACCCAATTTTGGTAAAGCTTCAGCTGTCAGACAGATCGCCTCGCTGCCTCCAGGATGCTACACAGAGGGCTTCATGATCGTGGCTGCACACCAAGCCCAAATCATCACCCCTCCACCACCGTGCTTGATACGAGCTGTTTTAGTTTTTACCATATACGACCAAACAACTTCATTTTGTTCTCATCTAAGAAGTCTTGGCAGCCCAGCTCTTGACAACTTTTCCACAAAAGGAATACTTCTTCGGTCCGTTGTAAGTATACGGTCATGAACGGCTGCCTGTAGAGTCGGACGTGTAACTCTGTTTGCATTATGTCTGAGCATCACATCATCTGGCAGGAATCTGCTGGGATGACTGTGAAATGAAATGTTCCAGACCAGCAAGCTACCGACATCTGCTTTGATCCAGGTGATCACACTTACTGACAATCAGTAAGTAATCTGGTAACCTGGCTGTTACCCTCTCTAGTCCTATGGAAGCAGTAAGTACACATAAAAACAACACGACTGTAGTAACTAAGCAGGTTACATATATAATGTATTGTTTTAACTGCTGAGCTCCTGTAATGAGCGAATAAGCTTCCACAACACAGAGATTAAGTGAAAAAAGACATTCTTCTGACTTTGTTCTGCATACAGATTACAGCAACACTGACCTGTGGCTAACACATTTGTAAATCACAGTGTGAATAATGCTCGTATGATTTACGGTTTCAAGAAACACTAATATAGTAAATCAAGCAGAAACCAGTCAGAATACACTCTGATCCTCTCAACCAGCAGACCCAAACAAACAGCCTACAAGCAGCCTCCCTGTAAAAAACAACACTTGAAACACAAGTCATAAATATTTCTCTTCGTATTTACCCTGGAAGACGGCCAGGCCGCTGTTATTCATCACACAGGGAAACAGGAAACATCTCCAGCGCTCTCAAACTTTATCTGAGCATCAGCACAACTCTGCTCAATGATGTCAGTGGAAATCCACACTCGGCTCTGTGCTGTCCACAGGGCCACATCCTGCCAATCACAGGCCTTCCACCGAGACGATTACGAGACAACAGCGGCACGCGTGTATATCATTTTATTTCCCGATGAAACTTGATCCAACATTGAGAGCGACAATAATGTGGAGATTTCTTTGACAACTAGCCTGGCTAATCTGCATCGACAGCTGTGCGTTGACACCAGGAATTAGTCGTTGCTCATGCAAATAGAGCGCGTATGCTAATACTGGAGCTAATTGGCGAAGAGAGGGAGGGGAGAGTTGTCAGTCGAACGTTAGCTGGATGGAGACGTGCACGCGCTCTGCTCTCAGCAGCCTGAAAGGCCTCCAGCCGTCCTCATTACGTGGCACCGACATGACACCGTTCGCCATTCATTTTATTTCTACAGATGGCAAATTTGTTGAGTCTTTGCATCACAGCGACGTTCAGCAGATTTCAGTCTCTCTCGCTCGTCGTGTTACATGCGGTGAATTCGTTGACATTTTTTATGCTAATTCAGCTGCTGAGTACCAATATATCTATAAACCAATGAGACAACGGCTCACACTAGCAGCACTGAAACACTACAGCTGAACCATTAGACATGGCTTTATAGTTTTTAATAAAAATCATGTAAGATTGATGCATATTATTGGCTGGTTCTGTAGAAATTGCAATGACGACTGTCAATTTCAATTCTGCCTTTTATTTTGCAACAAAGAAGCGTTGATACGTTAACATTGCTGTACTTAGCTCGCTGTGCAGCAGCGCATTATAAAAAAAATTCAGTTTGTCGTTGGATAAAGTTGTTTATCTAATACTAATAAATAGTTTAGGAGAGTTACTGTCATGTATTAAGTAATGCAGAGTGCTCTCACTGTTAGACTGACTGACCTACACCTGCAGAAACATCCTCATCACTCGGCTAAGACTAGCTAAGAACGGGTTAGCACAAACACAGGTGCAAAGCTTCGATGTAAGTCGAGGAGAAGCATGATTATTATCATCAAAATGATCACAAAGGTACTGCCAACATATAAAAAGTACCGTGTAAAGATTTAAAATATCATGTCCCATTTGACCTCTCACCTTCAACATCAACAGATTAAACTGAAGGTCAAAGTGTTATATTAATGTTATACAGAGGTTTAAGATGACAGTAGGTTTATGTGCATTACAGAAACAGGTCATAACAATTTCAACATGTTCCTGAATAAATATGATAAATGTGGTTAAAACTTATAATATTTAAATATTTGAATAAATATAAATAATATAAATAATTATACTCACAGTCGTGTTAGACGGCTGTTTCAACAGGGCAAATAACAAAAGCCTGAAATTTGTGTTGTTTTTATTTTTAGACCAAAGAAAACTGAATAGTATTAGTATAGTATTCCTTAAAAGTAAACACTACCTGGTGATGGAGCTCCTTGGTGGCAGATTTGCACTCTCAGAGTGCTTCTTGTTATTATGTGTAATTAGATATAATTTTTGAAATATGCGATTAATTCACTCGTTCAGGAAGAAACCACATGAAACACGTTCATCACACCTTCAGTGTTCACACAATGCACAAAGGCTAACAAGGTCCATGTTTGTGTGTCGCACTGAATGTAAACATAATGTTTGAATTGCACATGGTTAATGATATTTTCAATTCAGTCTAACATTTGTACTTCAGCATGGCAACAGGAACAATGCTTTGAAATAGGATCACAATAATCACTGTTCAGCTGCACATTCAGAATGACACGGGCAGATTTGACAAGGTCTTAAATAATCAGGCCCCATCTTATCTTAATGACCTTGTAGCACCATATCACCCTATTAGAGCACTTCGCTCTCGCTCTGCAGGCCTACTTGTTGTTCCTAGAGTATTTAAAAGTAGAATGGGAGGCAGAGCCTTCAGTTTTCAGGCCCCTCTTCTGTGGAACCAGCTTCCAGTTTGGATTCAGGAGACAGACACTATCTCTACTTTTAAGATTAGGCTTCAAACTTTCCTTTTTGCTAAAGCATATAGTTAGGGCTGGACCAGGTGACCCTGAATCCTCCCTTAGTTATGCTGCAATAGACTTAAGCTCCCATCATGCACTGGGTGTTTCTTCTTCGCTCACTATGTTTAACAGACCTCTCTGCATTGAATCATATCTGTTATTAACCTCTGTCTCTCTTCCACAGCATGTCTTTATCCTGTCTTCCTTCTCTCACCCCAACCAATCACAGCAGATGGCCCCGCCCCTCCCTGAGCCTGGTTCTGCTGGAGGTTTCTTCCTGTTAAAAGGGAGTTTTTCCTTCCCACTGTCGCCAAAGTGCTTGCATGTAATTCAGTTAAATTTTATTCATACAGCACCAAATCACAGCAACAGTCACCTCAAGGAGCTTTATATTGTAAGGTCGACTCTACAATAATACATACAGAGAAAAACCAACAATCACATGACTCCCTGTGAGCAGCACTTTGGCGACAGTGGGAAGTGCTGTGGAAGAGAGACAGAGATTAATAACAAGTATAATTCACTGCAGAGAGGTCTATTAACACGTAGTGAGTGTAGAGAAACACCCAGTGCATCATGGGTCATATGATTGTTGGATTTTTCTCTGTATTATTGTAGAGTCGACCCTATAAAGCACCCTGAGGCGACTGTTGTTGTGATTTGGTGCTGTATAAATAAAACTGATCTGAATTGAATTTGAATTGAAACACTTTTGTGTTTCAAACAATAATATGAAACAATGAGAAGAACTTAGAACATGTAAACAGGAAAATTTACGTGTGCACACATAAGGTTGGTTTGAAAGTTTTTTTTTATAACCCAGGTTATTAACTGACAGGAAGGTCACGCTGACTCTGAACTGTACATTTATCACAAAACACTGTTTCCACAAACTACAAATGAATATTGAACTTCACAAATAATTAAGTGTCACAAATTCTGTAAACTGATTCCAGACCGAGTACCGAGTGTGTTTGAGAGCTTAGAAATGATTTTTATTCATAAGACAAAGATTGTGTTTTTCTTTCTCCTTTTAAAGGTTACGCTGTGTAACTCTAAACTTCAGGTAACCATAACAACAGCAACTCTGGTGTATCTGTATTTCTGATCTGCATAAATAACCTCTCCTATTCATATATTTTACTATATGCTTGCCATGTAACAGACCGCCACACGGCTTTAGCTTTTTATTTTTGAAAAGATGTTTTTTGGCCCTCTCTCATTTTCTCTCTTACCTTGACCTGACAGAGCTTCTCTTTATACTTGGTGAGATGCTTCTGTTGTAGTCTTTGAACCACTTGGTTGTTGTGAGCCACTCTGTCTAGACTCTGAGGTAACACGCTGCATGTTGATGAAGTCTTATGTCCTTCCCTCTTGCTAATACAACAAAACATGTTATCCATTTCCAGTGCTTTTCTCCTTATTGAAGTAATACTGCAGACCACCAGCCTTTCAGCTGGTGAGCCGATCAAAGGACAAACCTTCTAAGCGCCGTCTTGCTTCCTGGGTTCACATTTCCAGTTAACTAATAACAAACTAGCTGGAATTTGAATGCCGGCCTGGGGATAATATGAACTGTGGGAGAGCCGAGCAGAAAGCCTCGTAAATGATAGCGACTGGAGCTCAGTTTGTGTGCAACCACATATAAAGATGCAAATATACACGCTTGTTTTAGATTTCCCTCATTGACCCAAATGAGCACATGTGTACACACACAGTGTACAGAAGATCAAGGAGCCTCTTTTCTGCCAAGGTCTCCACCCAGACCACCCAGAATCCTCTGAAGGCTGACCCTGTAGCTCATTTGTCCTGCTGATCTGCGGATCGCCGGTCAGAATCGGGGTGAAAGTTGAAGCTGACGGCGTATTCTCAGCAGCCGAGGCAGCGCTGACTGGAAAAGAGGAGTCACCAGCAGGCCGGGCTCCAACCCTGACCCCCCAGGGATTATCTGGGTCAAGGACTATATCCAGTCTGGCTCCACTGGACATCAATGAATGCACCACGGTGTCTGGCCACGTGTGCATTTCTCTCCAAGCGAATGAAAGCAACACAAAACATGATAACGCTGATAAAGTTGACATGACAACCTTTTAGTAAGAAATACTTCAGATGGACTCGTCTTCATCCCTCATGTGTGAACAACACCTGCAGCGATGTGACCCCCTGCACGTCTGCACAGCGCAGAATGAGCTGGCTCATATTTTTTCTTACTACAGTTTTAATTACTGCATACTAACGTCTATGAATAACAATGATAATGCATTTTTGCTTTGAATTTCAAAGGTTTATCTTTTTATTTATACAACCCCATCAAGCACATATTTATCTCTTCTACACAAGCTGCTGGGGGCCTAAACGAGTTAAAGCATAGAACAGATGTTACAAATGCAGAATATTTAATGTGTGATGTTCAGTCAGCGCGCTGTGTCTCGACCCTGAGCTCATCATCAAGGATAGCAGACATCAGTTTGAATTTCAGCTGATGATGTTGATTAGATTCACTCACGAAATGTTACCTTTACAGCACTTTGCCATCGTGCATGAGCAATAAGCTGTGATGGCTCACGTACCATCTGCTGGAATTTAGTTGTGTAAGTCTGGAAAAAGCAGGTCAGCTGATCACAGTGTGTACACGGAGTCGACTGGAGCTCACAATAGAAACGATTGTAACTTCTTTCTAAGTGGTTCTTTTCCCCAGGGTGCAACACTCTGTGCCCATCTTACCAAATCTGCACTCATTTTACATTCAGCTGTGGAGGCAAAGTCACCAACCTACAACGCAGGCGACAAACAGGTGTTTCTTTTAGTTAATTCGGTTTTTTATCTCTGCTTGTGTTCTGCATAAAAAATGTTGAAGCTGTATGAATTCATTAGAATTAAGTTGTAATAACGTTTGTATCTCCTTGTTTTATTATGATTTTGTTAGTGTATTAAAGGAGCACGCACA